GGAATGAAGATTCTAGAACCCTCCTAGGAACTCAAATTCGTTCATACTCTTACTTTCTTTGGCCAAAAATCTCCTCTCTCATCTCCAAGACCTACACTACAAGGAGATTGAAGTGATATGTTTACTACAACAAATCAAGAGGTATGTAACTCTATACTTGATAATTTCGAATTAGACTAGGGTTATACTAAGTTTAGTTGTCCATTGTATGTTGCTATCAAGGTATATGTCGTAGATTTTTTATAAAATGCATGTACCCTAGTAAGTGTTAATTGTTTACCATATTGTACAATTATGTTTTCTGTAAAACCCAACACTATTTTCCGGCGACGAGCTTCCTTAATTGCTTCATACTAAATAACAATAATAATAATAATAACAATAATAATAATAATAATAATAATAATAACAACAACTTAAGAGTTTTGTCTATTATTTTCGCGTACGTCTTCGCTGCTCGCTTTTTTGCTTGAAGATGCCGCCTTTTTTTTCCTTTGTCGCTTCACGGTGGTCGTCGAAGTTGGACTCGATGGACCCTCCCCCTCAATGTTGACGTATTCATTGAGGTCAACACCAAAACTCATATCTGAATCGAAAGTTCTTGGTCGTTTGTTGGAGTCGATGGTCGATTCCGAATGCGAAGTCTTCAGACTAAGGACCCATTTTAGACCTTTACGACAAATTTCTTATGCTTTTTGGTGGCCGAATGTTTTACCATCGTTGGTAACCTTGTATTGTTGGCATGTTGTTGATAAAATATTGAAATCATTGCTACCATTTTTATGCATATTTTTAAGATTTTCAAATCTGATATTCAACTTTATGCAAGCCGCTCGTAGTTTATGCCATTTCCGTTGTCGTGTCGTACGTCCTCTCCATTTGACTTCCTAATAGCAAGTGAAAGTGGTCTAAAATACGAAGCTAAAAAATGTTTCCCATTTGCGTGTTGCACGTCTTCGAGTCACACAATATGAAAATCCAAATTTTAGGTAAAGCTTCCTCCTTATCTTCGTTCCAAGTTGTACCTTTTTTTGTAGCTTTTCATTTTTGTTGCATTCTTCTAGATGGTTGTTGTGTTTCTTGAACCCTTTCGTCGTCGTTGATAGCTTATTTTATTTCCTTATTTTTATTAGTTTATTTTAGTATTTTTAGCTCTTTTTATTAGTATTGCATCATATATTCTTTATTTTCTTTATCATGGATCATGTTGGGTACTTTCTATTTTGCATGAGATATTTTGTAGGGTTTTGGAGCTCATTGCGGTTGCGGTTTGACTAGAGTTGGGCTTGGTGGGCTTTAAGGATCGATCAAATGAGATTTTGGCTTAAAAGTTGAAGATTTGGATGAAGTGGGCTTGTGAAGATGGGTCATGGATTCTTATTTTGGGCATGGACTATCCATATTTAAAGCTTGAAGGTGATTGGCCAATTTCAACTCATGTGAGTCATGGAGGGGACCAGGGAATCTTGGGTAGTCGAGTGGGTAGTGGAGAAGAATGGACCAAGAGCATTCCAACAACACTTACGAGGGTAGAATCTCAGTTGCGCAACGCTTGCGCGGGTACCCACGCAACTGCACACTTTTGGGCATTTTGGTGATTGTGTTTACCATTTACCTTGGGGGGGGGGGGGGGGGGGTGGATCTTTCAGAGACACTTTGATTTTCCACCATTAGAGACCTAGAGAGGCAGTTTTGGGAGCTTGGATACATTTTTGCTCATCTTTCTAAGTAATTGGTAGATTCTTGATGTAAAAACATTTTTATGATTGTTATTTTGTTGCAATGAGTGGCTAATTTCTCTATTTTGGTTAACTTTGGCTAAAACCCTTGAATGTTTGGGTTTTTGAAGGATTCATGCTTAATTATCATTTATCTTATGTTTATGATTCTAGTTCATATTTCTTATGCTTGTTTAATACTTTGATCATGAGCATGGTACTTGAATGAACAATTGCTGGTTTATTTCTTTGGTTTAGCATTGAATCATTGAATTTACTTAGAACAAGGGCTTTATGATGGTAGAAATCATCTCTAGTTTATGAATCATAACTCCTTTATGGATGTGTAAGCATTGATATCCTATAGGAATTAAGGATTCCTTCATTCTAAAGGCTAATTAACTTCTTTGGTTCAATTGCTTCAATTGAATCCTTGATTCTGATTAAGAGGGTATGTTGTAGGCTTCCCCAACCTCCATACTACCTATGATGAATCTTGGCATATCATGCTTCATGATTGCTATAACCAATTTGGGATGGATGATAAGCTTTATATTGAATCCTAATGATAAACACACAAATGTTCATTATGTTGAATTACCTTGGTTAGCCAATTCTCTCCAAAATTTGAGGATCTCACCATCTTGCTTAATTGCAAGTTTTCTAGTTATTCAAGTCTTTTAGTTTTCAAGAAATCATAACAACCCCCTTTTAGTTCAATTGTAATTAGTTAGTGTATTTACACAAGTTCTATTGGATTTGCATTGTTGATTGAATACAACCATTTCCCTAAGGATTGATACCCATTTTTACCAATATATTACATTTTATTTGCAAACAAAGGGTGTAATTTGCTTGATGGACTTGACATCCCACCAAGTTTTGGCGCTGTTGCTGAGGAAATTGGTTATTATTATTTGATTGTTTATGCCTAGGTCATTGTCCAGGTTTGTAGGTTGGGATTGAGAAAATGAGACTTAAAATGGTTGTGTTTGAAATTATTGAGGTTGAAAAGTTTGTGCAGGGCCGGCCGAAGGGCAGGGAGAGTTGGGCTACTGCCCAAGGCATCAAGCTAATATGGGGCACAATGTATTTGTCATACTATCATAGTTATACGCTTTATTTTTGCCCAAACTTAAGATCCATACTCAAATTAAGTTCGTTTCTAGATTTTGAGGTTGATTGAGAAGGGCATTTTGAGCGGTAAAGAAAAAACACGACACACCTTAATTTATTAGGAACAAAATTCGAACACCAGCCACACCTAATTGGAGGAGTCGGGGAAAATGAAGAAGGCAAGGAGATGGGAGATATTTATAAAAAAATTATCATTTCTTATTTCAAATTTTCCATTCTCCTTCTCCCTAATCTATTTAATGCTTTACCCTACTGATCATCAATTTATCTAAACATCTGAATCGATTCAAGAAACTAAGTAGTGAGCACTGAGCTTTACTGGTTCGAGAACCAATGAAATTTTTTTGTGTCTTTTTGACTCGAGAACAGTCTTAAAACCTCATTTATTTTCAAAGTCTTAGAACTTGTGGTGGTCTTTCATCTTTTTTGCTCAAATGTCTAATTTGTCCTTTATTTTCAAAGTTGAAGTTCTTCAAATCTTTCTCATTGGACACCTGGTAGATAATTGACTATCTATTTTTCCATTTTATTTTGATTAAGTCTTTATAAATTACATCTTGTAATCTTGTTAGTTCCGATTATTTTTAGTACTTAATATTTACTATTGCTCAAACTTTTTTGATAGTTTCATTGATGTTGGAGCTGTTTTTTAGCATTACTGGTCTATTATATTTTTTTGGATTATTTTGTTAGTATCCACAAAATTATTTTTTAATATGTAGTTGATTCATTGTTCATTTGTTTGTCTTGTTAAGTTGTTATTTATTAATATTAAGTTTTTATGATCTCATTAGGATTAAAAGTGTTTGAGAGAGAAATTGAGTATCCGCAACTTTCAATTTTGATAGGGTACATGATGTTTTTTTATTCAAATAATGTACATGCACGTTTTAGTTGGAGTTTGTATACGTTAGTTTGGATAAATTATAAATATGAGATTTGAATAAATAAAAAAAAGTTATGCCGCAATATTGCATTATGCATTTATGGGTGTAATGTATATGTATGGTATTAAAATGGGGTATTATTAAGATTTTTCCGTCCTGGGTATGTAAAACCTTTTGATCGGTCCTAAGTTTGTGGTTGGAATTGTTGAGGTTGTGAAGCTTATGATTTGAACTTGTTGAAAAGCTTGAATTGTGGTTGAATTGTTGTGGTATTTGTTGTTGGTAATAGTTTGGTTGATGTGAAATGTTGGTAAATATATGTTGTTGTTGGATTGAGGATATTAATATTTGTATGTAGTTAAGATGTTGATCCAGATCATTTTGAGTGTTTGGGGTTGTTGGGATGTTTGGAGTGGATGTGGTATTTTGATTTGGATCTATAGTTTCAAGAAGAGATAAGAAACTATAAAGAGATTTAAGGTGTGAAATTGTTATAAAATTGTTGGTATTTGTAATGTAAGTGTTTATTTTAAATTTGAAAAGTAATTTTTTTATACATAAATGGAATTCAACTGACGCCAAGGGTGGTTTTTGTGGGTGTCACAGTGTAGCACTATAAACACCTATTTTTTCTGTCCGCAATGGAAGAATTTTCGAATTTTCAAAATTTTTACTTATTTTTCCTACATCAGCAACACCTACTATATGTGCATCGGCCCCTGACAGATGCATTTTTTACCGTTTGAGGTGGAAGAATTCGATTTGGCTGATGATCTTTGATTATAGTCGATCTGCATAACACTTACACCACTATAGGGCAGCGTTTACAGATGAACATCCCTGCCACATCGACCATTACACGTCAAAATGTGTGTCATACCCGACCGCCTAACAAAGCCTAAAATCAAGGGATATTGTCACCACTAATATCGCAACACCTATGAATGCAATTACCCTTCTTTTTGTTTGACAATTTAACTTTGGGTTCCTAGGAAATGTTTATGACATGGATTCCATCGATTATGCCTGAGTGACATGACTGGGACCCAATGCAAAAGAATAAAGTCTAGGGAATCGGGAAATCCCTTTTGGTGTTTTCTACATAATTCTAAATATTTCTAAAGAAGCGACCAAGTTGTAAGTTATGCTTTATGATTTGCAATTTCATGAGTACGTATAGACCATACCCTGTTCAACAAACATCTGTCTGGTGGAGTACTTATTAATCCACCACGTAGTTTAAGCTGTTTAGGTGTATCCCAAGCCTCTTTCCCTTTGACGTCAAACACACTCATATACTCTCTCTCTCTCTCTCTCTCTCTCTCTCTCTCCAACAAACATTGAATAGAAGATCAGGATATTGATCGATGGAAGTGGTGGGAAAGATTGGTAGAGGTATAATGGTGCCAATGTTGGCAGCCAATTTTGTAGTCTACATAATCGTCATCGGCCTTGCCGCATGGTCTCTCGACAAGTACATCGACGGCCAACAGAATCATCCTCGTAAATTAACTTGTAGCCTTAATTACATAAATTTGTTGTGTACGAACTATCATTTACTTGTAGACTATATGTGCTTCAAGTTATAACCTAGCAACGGATAATTTAATTGTTTAAGATGATCACATACTCTGTTTTTTTTTTCTTTACTCATAAAACTTCTCAATTTTTGTTCCCAATAGGTATATAAAGTATTATATCATGATGATTAATGTGATGTAGACTTAGGAGGGAACACATCGACAACATACATGTTAGAGTTTGGATTGCTTGGAGGTGCAACAGGAATGTGCTCGGTGGTTATCGGCTTCATGCATCACCGAGCATGGCGTAGTGCCAGTTTAGCAAGTGCTTCATCTTCCGCATTTATAGCTTGGGCTATTACTTCCATTGCTTTCGGGTACTTGAAATAAAACAATCATAATTTTCTTGTTCTATAGACTATAAACGTTGGCTTTTTTTTATTTATTTATTGTTTCATAAATGTATTAACGTGGGTTTTTTGGAACATAGTTTTGCTTGGAAGGAGATCAAAATTGGAGGACGAAGAGGAAAACGCTTGGTAATTAATACAACTTTCTCCAAACAATTCACTGTCTAAATAACATCTTTTTTTTCTTTATATATGCGATAATTAATTTCAAAATGCAGCAAACACTGGAATTGTTCATCACCATATCCACATTCAGTCAGATGTTATATCTCATGCTTCTGCATGCTGGATTATTTAACCCAAGATACGGACCTGATTATCTCAGCCACAGGGACGACACCGTCATCCGCCGTGCACCCGCCCAGTCCCAGCCCAGCACCTCCACTTTGGACTGATACAAGATTTCATATCATACACACTTAAACCACAAAACTTACTCATATTATGATGGAATATCACGTGTAATTTTGTGTTTTCAATGTCACTAGACTAGAATATATAATTGTTTATAACGAATTATAGCATGTTGAAAAAGCAAGAAATTTGTAGATCCCTGCAAATGGAGTTGAGAGTATTTGAAGGTTATTGTGGGTTGAAGATTTTTAAAACTAAAACAAAAAATATTTCAAAATCAAGTTCTAGACCCATATATTCTGAAAACCCTGAATGGTAATTTAGGGTCATCCAGATCATCGTCAAGTGGACAAAAAAATGTTGGATTATTTATTAAAAGATTTGATGACAAGAACATCAGAATATATAAGAAAATATTCAAAAAAAAAAATTCCTGGTCAGGTCAAATGGTTCATCACATACTATTACTGATTTTACTAATTACAGATCACATACTATTACTGATTTTACTAATTACAGATTTTTGTACAAAAATATTTTTATTTGAATTGGGTACAATAGCAAATAAAAACCAAAGTTTATTAGGAAAGGTGTGAGGCAATTAATCTAATTGGTTGTGATTACATACCAATACCAACTGTCATTCCTTATTCTCTCCAGTCCCAGGCACAAATACACAATTCCTGTTTTGGCTTGATCATTGGTGTGGATCGGACATTTTTAAAAACAAATTTCCACTTCTGTACGAGTTGGAATCTGTTAAAAAAATGTTATGTAACTGAAAGAGTTGCCAATGCAAGTTTCACATGGAGTTGGAAATCCTCACTCCGTGGTGAAGCTGTGCTATCAGAATTTATGGAGATTTGTTCGATACTCAATAATATTAGACTTACTCCAGTTTTCCTCGGATTGAAGTTCAACCTTAATTCGGATGGTATGTATACAGTCAACATGATGAGGAGGTGTATCGATGCCACTGGAATACCTCACAATGGTCTGATCATTGAATGGTCAAGGATCATCCCGCTCAAGGTCAAATGCTTTGTATGGCGTGCTTTGCAAGGAAAGATACATGTTACTGTGGAACTTATGAGAAGAGGTGTTACTATACATTCTGACTTATGTGTACTATGTGGTGACGAGCAAGAAACTGTGGATCATTTGATAGTAAAATACAAAGTGGTTGATGAGACTCGTGAGTGGATTTTCAAATGGTGTAATTTACCATTGAGATAATTTCTTAACATGGATGAATTTCTCAACTTTGGGGCTTCATGGGGTAATTACCCGAAGAAAAGGTTGACGATCACAATAATCTTCTATTGTTTGTTGTGACATATCTGGAATGTGAGGAATAACAAGGTGTTCAGTAGGGTGATTAGTTGTCCCACGATGATTGCAGATGATATTATTTCCCAATCCTTTTCGTGGTTTAAACATAGGAGTTCAAAATTATATAGTAGATGGGTTGATTGGAGTATCTCACCTTTTACTTTTTGTTAAAGTTATATGTTATCGTACTTGTACTTTGTCCATGTTTCTTAGCTACTTGCTGAGCATGTGACTTTTATATATAATATT